CAGTCCTCAAGGCTCTGTGAAATATTTTTCAGTCTAGTTCCTCTCATATTGTTGAGATTGAGTAATGTCTGTGCTCCGTCTTCATGTTTACTCATTCTTCTCCCCGTCCAGATTTCTGTCAAGCCCATTGCGTTTTTTACTTTAATTAATTAATTAATTTTCATACAGATGGAGTCTCATTTGTGGCCCAGGCTGGTCTCAAACTCCTGATCTCAAGTGATCCTCTTGCCTTGGCCTCCCAAAGCATTAGGTTTATAGTTGTAAGCCATTGCACCTGGTCTCAGTTTTTCTATCTTTTTTTTAGATGGAGTTTCGATCTATAGCCTAGGCTGGAGTGCAGTGGTGTGATCGACTCACTGCCATCTTAGCCTCCCAGATTCAAGAGATTCTCTTGCCTCGGCTTCCCAAGTGGTTGAGATTACAAGTGTGTGCCACCGTGCCCAGCAAATTTTTGTATTTTTAGTAGAGAGGAGGTTTTTACCATGTTGCCCAGGCTAGTCTTGAACTCCTGACCTCAAGTGATCCATCTGTCTTGGCCTACCAAAATGCTGGGATTACAGGCATGAGCCACCATGCCCAGCTGCCTCAGTTTATTTTTAATTTTAGAATCTCCATTTAGTTTTTTATATCTTCTCTTTCTTTGCTGAGACTTTATTTTTCATTTTTTAAAAGTGGCTGGGTGTGGTGGCTCATTCCTATAATCCCAGCACTTTGAGAGGCTGAGGTGGGAGGAACACATGAGCCTGGGAGTTCAAGACCAGCCTGAGCAACGTAGCAAGACCCTGTGTCTACAAAAATAAAAGATGAAAATTAGCCAGGTGTAGTAGTGTGTACCTGTATTCCCAGCCTTTTAGGATGCTAAGGGGAAGGATTACCTGAGCCCTGGAGATCAAGGCTGCAGTTGGCTGTGACGGCACTGCTGTATTCCAGCCTGGGCAACAGTGCGTTTATAACTGCCCATTGAAGCACTTTTATGGTTGCTGTTTTAAAGTCTTTGTCAGGTAATTGTAACATCTCTGTCATCTTATGTTAGCATAGTTAATATCTTCTCACTGAAGTTGAGATTTTTCCGAATCTCAGTATAGTCGGTGATTTTCTATTGAAGCTTACATTTTGGATGTTATGAGGTCTGAATCTTACTAAAATCTTCTGTTTTAGCTGGCCTTTGTTGACACCACTCCAGCAGGGGAAGTGAGGGACTATCTCATCATTGCCCATGGAAATAGAAGTCCAGGTTCTCCACGTGGCCTCTGTTGACACCCTGGGGGAAAGGGGCTGCCCATCCTTGCTGGGAGAGACGGGAATTCTGGCTACCCAGTGGCACAGTGGGAGAGAATGGCTCGTTACTGCCCTCTAGCCGCTGCTTGGCCTTCTCTGAGGCTACCCTGGCAGAATGGCGGTGGAGAACGGGGCACCTCGTTACCGCAGGGCAGTGGTGGAAGTCCAGGTTCTTCACTTGGCTTTTGTTGGCAGGCGTGTGGTGGCTACAGTTTTTTTGTGATGTTTGGCTGGAGTAGAGCAGTTTTTTATCTAAAAGTTTTCTGTTTTGCTATGCTGTACTTTATTCTAGTTTTTTTGACCGAAGAGCAGCTTTTTTTTTTTGCCTTTTTTTGGTCTGTACCTATTGGCATTTCTTGCTGGTTTATCTAACACCCAGTCTGTGATATGTGAGGAAATAAAAAAGAAGAAAAACAAATTCAGCAGACTCACAGCTGTGTTATTCCTTAGATCCCAAGGTTCCTAGCCAGTCTGCCTTCCTCACCTTTCAGAATTTTTATTTTTATTTTTGAGACAGGGTCTCTGTCACCTAGATTTGAGTGCAGTGGTACAGTCTTGGCTCACTGCAACCTCTCCCTCCTGGGTTCAAGTGATTCTTGTGCCTCAGGCTCCTGAGTAGCTGGGATGGCAGGTATGTGCCACCACACCCAGTTAATTTTGTATTTTTTGGGGAGATGGAGCTTCGCCATGTTGACCAGGCTGGTCAGAATTTTAAAATGTTTATTATATATATAATGTCTGGGGTATTTTGTGGGAGAAGCAGGGAAAAGTACTTCTACTTCCTCTTTCCAGAAACAGAAGTTTGTTCTATTTGGAGCAGTGGTCAGATCTCTTGAGTACAGGCTGTCTTATAATAGATCATAATCTGAATTCACAAATATAAATCCCTATAAAGCTAAGCCTCTTCCTTTTTGTATTAGGTTTTTTTTTTCATCTTTTGGAATACAAAGTGTATTTTTACAAAGGTAAATAATGTCACGGGTGTTGTCTCCATTCTTAGACTCTTCCATGGCAGCCTATAAAATCTTTTAACTCTCAGGCAGCTGCCATCCTGTACATTAATGTACAACTGAAAAACAGGAAGAGCATTTTTTAAATCTTGAATATTAATGTTTGAGGAAAAGCAAAGTTGATCAGCAAAGGGCAGGATGGAGAAACAGAACCTGTAGGGGACATTCGGGTCTTTACAGAGTGGTAACGTGGGTTATTCTGATCACCATTGCTTGGAAATGTCACCATTTCTTTTCTATTGGCTTCACACAGTACCTGGTGTATGGTAGGGGCTCCTTAAGGACAGAACCACAGAGCGTGTTCTGGGGCTGACAGTTGGAGTCTGTACACTGCTTTCCTTTAGAAGGGCACACAGTTTAGTACCTTTTTATTTTCCTTTGGGTTGTTTCTGTCCTGTCTGTAACTGTTTTCGTTATCTCATTGACTGTCTTTTTTTGGCCTCAGTGTCTTCATATCTTGGCTTATGGTTCTTCTTGGAGTTATTATTGAGACCCTAAGCTCTGGTCTCAAATTGATGTTGTACCTTTTCCCTATCTTTGTCAGCGCTTTGTGCCCCAGAATTCTTTTTAAAAAATGTTTTAAAATGGGCCAGGTATGTTGGCTCATGCCTGTAATCCCAGCATTTGGGAGGCTGAGCGGGGCAGATCACGAGTTCAGGAGTCCAAGACCAGCCTGGCCAACATGGTGAAACCCTGTCTCTACTAAAAATACAAAAATTGGCTGGGCACGGTGGTTCACTCCTGTAATTACAGCACTTTGGGAGGTCAAGGAGGGTGGATCACGAGGTCAGGAGTTTGAGACCAGCCTGGCCAACATGGTGAAACCCTGTCTCTACCAAAAATACACAAATTAGCTGGGCATGGTGGCGCGTGCCTGTAATCCCAGCTACTCAGGAGACTGAGGCAGGAGAATTGCTTGAACTGGGAAGCAGGAGGCAGAGGTTGCAGTGAGCCAAGATCGTGCACTGCACTCCAGCCTGGGCTACAGAGCGAGACTCTGTCCCCCTCCCAAAAAATGTTTTAAAATTAAATATTTCAAATATGAAAGCATAGAAGATAGAACAATTAACCTCTGTACACTTGTCCCCTGATTCCCTTTGTGGTGCTTGGGTGCCTGCTGTAGAACCCACAGTGTCTTCTGGCAGTTGACCTCATCCTGCTATTGGTGCTGGGAACTTAGTAGCTTTTGTGTGTGGCTGTATTTTTCCTGGGGCTTTTCACATTTTTACTCTCCAATGAAAGGTGTGGGGAAATGGGTCAATTGGACTGTGTAGGACCTGCTGGCTGGTAGCCTGATTTTTCTTTTTGCCTCCTTTGTGTTTTCATATCACTGCAGTTTCTGCATGTATATGGTAGTAATAATTATTCATTCATTTATCCATTCCAGACACAGTCTTTATTCTTAGAACTTATATTAGGTAGTGGAAATGCAGAATCAGTAAAATAGAGACCAAAGAGGTAGGTTTCCTAAGAATTTAAAAGAGGGAGAAAGTGCTTCCAGCTGGACAGATCTGAGAAAGTAGATCTGAGGTCATCTTTGACTTGGAATTGGACATGGGAAGATCAGAGGAGGTGCTGCAGCCCCACGTGAAGAACGCATAGAGGCGCAGAGATGAAGAGTAGTGTGCATCCTGGCGGTCTGACATGAAGAACTGAGATGCCAAATAAGCTTGCATTCCTAGAGTCCTTTGGAAGAGAGGTCATCATCCTATCAAACAAGGGGCCTGATGGTAGAGGATCCTGTCAAGGATTTGTGTGGACACATCCTACTGGAATGATCCATCTGAGCTGTGATGACCACCCCACTAATCCCTAACTGCAGGGCTGCCAATCGCAGATGTACAGGTTATACCTGAATAAGCACCCTACAGAGTTAACAGATAGGGCTAAAACACAGCCAGGCTCTGCCAGCAGAACCGGTGCAGGCAGTTTCCACCCGGAGAGGCATCCTTTTCTAATTTACTCACACACCACGAGGGTTCAGATCTGTTTCTTTTTCTTTCTTAGTGGTCCTCACATATCATGGCCAAATATTTATAATCTTACTGTAATGTAATTTGCTAAATGATTGCCTTTAGCTATCTGTAGGGACTCAGTCATCACTTTGAAGACTGGCTCTATATCAAACATTTGCAGAGATTCAGACGGATGTGCTCTAGATGTTTCATTTTTGCCTTCTGCTCTCCTTGTCACCAGCATTAGGTTAGATGCTCAGAATCTTTCCACCTTCTTCCATCTCCTTGCAAGTGAGGATGTGGCTGCTGAACTGCTTAGTGCCTACCTGCATGGGTGACCTGAAGTGCACAGGCCGCTGGGCCTCAAGCCTTTTTGCTGCTCCAGTGTCTGGTGCTTCCCGTCTCTTTAGGGCTGTCTTGCCCTGTCTGTGTCCTGCTACCTGCTGTTGCTACTGCTGCCCCTGAGCCCTCTGGTCCTGCTTCTGTCCCCATCATCCCAGTTGGCTTAATTCTGGAAAGGGAGAGATTCATTAGAGAAAAAAACAGAATTACAAGTGCAGAAAAGACAGGGAGGATAATGAAGGGAGGAAAATTGGGAGAGATGTAGCAGTAGAGGGCAGGGAAATAACAATAAAAGCAATTTTGCAATTATAGTGGGATCTAGGGTGACAAACCCTAGAGCGAACGTTCCACAGGTGGGGGTATTTCTGGCACTGCCATCTGAGCCTCAGTAACAAGGTGACCTTGCTTTCCTCAGGTGTCCTCATGACTTCTCTTGTGGACCATGTCCATGATCTTTTTTGCCTGCGTGGTACGGGTAAGGGATGGACTGCCTCTCTCGGCCTCTACTGATTTTTACCACACCCAGGATTTTCTGGAATGGAAGAGACGGCTCAAGACTTTAGGCCTGCGACTGGCCCAGTATCCAGGTCGAGGCTCTGCAGAAGGCCGTGACTTTAGTATACAGTAAGTGAGCATATACTCTTTTTCAGAATCTTAGCAAAATTTGGATTACTTTTAACTACATGTAGTGGTAATCTAATGCTGATCACATTGTGTATTAAAAGCAGATCTAGCATCAGTGGTCTGAGGTCATGTGTGTCTATAACAGAATCATGAAAGAAATGGGTTTTCTTAGAGCCTCAAGCATGGCTGCTCCATGTTTTTTTTTTTTTTAAGAGACAGAATTAGGCTGTGTCAGTCAGGCTGGAATGCAGTGGTGCCATCTTGGCTCACTGCAACCTCAGCCTCCTGGGTTCAAGCGATTCTTGTGCCTCAGCCTCCTTAGTAGTTGGGATTATAGGCACACACCATGATGCCCAGCTAATTTTTATATTTTTAGTAGAGACGGGGTTTCACCATGTTGCCAAGACTGGTCTCGAATTCCTGACCTCAGGTGAGCCACCTGCCTCAGCCTCTCAAAGTGCTGAGATTGATTACAGGTGTGAGCCACCATGCCCAGCCATGGCTGCTCCAGCTCTTAACTTCTGCTAATGGAGTGCCCATGAACATTGGGAGATCTGGGTTCATGTCTTTAGTTTTATAGTTTTTTCTTCACTCAGATGCAGGGAAGGAAGAAAGGTAAGGAGGGAGGAGATCCTAGATTATAATGCTGGAGAGGGAAAATAATAAAAATTAGAAAGCCAAGAAAATAAGAAAGTATTTCATTTATAGCCCTTCAGTTTTTTTTGCTTTTTAATGTTTTCACTTTACATTTTAATTGCTTTAATTTTTAATTTGCTTTTTAATTTTTAATTGCTATTTTTTTTTTTGAGACAGAGTTTCACTCTTGTCGTCCAGGCTGGAGTACAGTGGCGTGCTCTCTGCTCACTGCAACCTCTGCCTCATGGGTTCAACTGATTGTCCCGCCTCAGCCTCCTGAGTAGCTGGGATTACAGGTGCCCACCACCATGCCTGGCTAATTTTTGAAGTTTTTAGTGGAGACAGGGTTTCACCATGTTGGCCAGGCAGCTCTCGAACTCCTGACCTCAGGTGATCTGCCTGCCTTGGCCTCCCAGAGTGCTGTGATTACAGGCATAAGCCACCCGTGCCCAGCCATTTAAAAATGTTTATTATGTGACAGGATCAGGGCAGTGAAAAGTAAGTGAGAGTAGTAGGTCTCTTTTCTCAAGGAACTTAAAAAGTCTAACGAGGTAACAAGAGAAATATATGACTAGCTATAATACAGTGGGAAAATGTTCCAGTGGAAGTAGGAATCAAGTGATTACAATAATCCTGGTTACCAAAACTAATATTCTTGAGTGCTTTCTATACGGCAGGCACTATTCTGTGTTTCATGTGGCTTATGATGTAGGTAATAGTATTACACCTGTTTTGCAGAGGAGGAAACTGAGGTAAAAAAAACTTAACTAAGGCTACACTGTTAGTAACTGGTCAGCCCAGGATTTGAATGCAGGCAGTTAGGCACCAAAATCTGCTTCTCATGGCCTATACAATTTCCTGTTCTAGGACTCAGAGCAAGAAGCCAGCCATTCTGTGGAGGCATCAGGGGCAAGACAGATTTTTGAATATCGAAATGGCTTGTTAGATTTGATGTCTATTTTCTCTTGTATTTAGACCTTCACTTATCAAGTCCCTTTTGCTCTCCTTATGTTTTTATTTTTAATTTTATTTTTTAGAGACAGGGTCTCTGCTGGGCACAGGTTCATGCCTGTAATCCCAGCACTTTGGGAGGCTGAGGTGGTAGGATTGCTTCAGCCCAGGAGTTCAAGACCAGCCTGGGCAATATGATGAGACCCCATCTCTATAAAAAACTTTAAAAATTACCCAGGTGTGGTAGGGTGCACCTGTAGTTCCAGCTACTTGGGAGAATGAGGTGGGAGGATTGCTCAAGCCCAGGAGGTTGAGGCTACAGTGAGCCATGTTCACACCTCAGCCTCCAAAGTAGTTGGAACTCTGTCTCTAGATAGATAGGTAGATTAGACAGATAGATTGATTGATAGATAGCCTCCCAAGTAGCTGAGTCTACAGGTACACACCACTACACCTAGCTAATTTATTTTTTAGACAGGGTCTTGCCATGTTGCCCAGGCTGGTCTTGAACTCCTGGGCTCAAGTGACTCTCCCGCCTTGGCCTTCCAGAGCCCTGGGATTATAGTTATGAGTCCCTGTGCTGGTCCCTTGTATTCTCCTTGAATAGTACATTTTTAGTTGATCTGCTAAGCCGAGGTCCTTTTAGGGGAATTCAGTCTCAGAATTATAAAAACAAAAGGAAAAGTCCAGGCCTGACACCAGGCAGGTGATAATGTCAATCTCGAAGGGCCACGTCCTGAAGAGGGTGACAAATAATAGGCACATGCATCTGTCACCCGATAGTATGGGCTCTGGCTGTTTGGGAGCAAACACTGAGCTGCACCTGCCCCCAGATGCAGCCCCTTTCTCTGAGTACCGGAACATGGCTTTCTTGAAGGTCTCTTCTGTCCTGTGCAGTGATTAACTGATTTGTGCTGTACTGCAGATAGGAAGCCTTTCCTCTGTTAAAGGCTATTCTTCACAGAAAAGAGAAGTTTAAGACTTAAGAATTAAATCCTGGGTACTTCAGTAGCTTTTTTGGAAAAAGGAATAAAAATTTTTTACTCATTTGTAATTTTGAATTAAATATTTACCATTATTTTCACAGAGGAAACAGACTTTCTTTTCTTACAGGTGGGCAGTGCTATAGCTTTTAATACTTAAGGCATTGTGTTAGTTTCCTAAGGCTGCCATAACAAACTGGCTTCAGACAACAGAACTTATTCTGTCGCAGGTACCGCAGGGCCATGTCCCCTCTGCAAACTTGAAGGAATAATCCTTCCCAAGCCTCTGCTGCTTTCTGCCAGTCGTGGGCTGTAGATGCCTTACTGCCGTCTCTGTCTCCATGGTTGCATGGTCTTCTTCCCTCTGTCTCTGTGTCCAAGTTTCCTTTCTTATAAGGACACCAGTCATCACATGAGGGCCCACCCTATTCAGTATGACTTCATTTTATCTTGGTTACATCTTCGAAGACTAGTTCTTTTTTTTTTTTTAAAGATGGGGTCTCACCCTGATGGCCAGGCTGCTCTTGAACTCCTGACCTCAGGTGATCCACCCACCTTGGCCTCCCAAAGTGCTAGAGTTACAGGTGTGAGCCACTGTGCCCAGCCTGAAGACTATTTCTTTGAGTTAGGACATCAATAAATCTTTTTGTGGGGACTCATTCAGCCCACAGCAGAGGTCTCTTTCATATGGAAACGCCTCCATCATAGAGTGGCCTAGACTCTTCTAAAGGATTTCTTCCATAAGGAGGAGAGTCATCTATTTTTTCCCATTGGAAAAGTTTTTATATAGGGAGTTACAGTTTCAAAAAGGTGGTAGAACAACACAACCTAAAAACCTCCTGCTGAAAACACCCGGAAATGAGGGTAAATATATATCAGCAATTACTTTAAATGTGTACTTAAGCTTGAAAGAAAGAAAACTTAAGATGCTAGAAATAAAAGGAAAGCAGAATATTAGGGTAGTAAGTGTGTACGTGGACACTGAGGCTCCTGGGCATTCAGTCACAGCAAAATTGGGGCTTGGTTTGGGCTTACATAGGGTGGAGTGTCAGAACAAGACTCTTGTGGCTGGGTGCAGTGGGTCACGCCTGTAATCCCAGCACTTCGGAAGGTTGAGTTAGGCAGATTGAGCCCAGTGGTTTGGGACCAGCCTGGGCAGCATGGCGAGACCCCATCTCTACAAAAACAAAAAGTTAGCTGGGTGTGGTGGTGCACACCTATTGTCCCAGCTACTTGGGAGGTTGAGGTAGGAGGATGGCTTGAGCCTGGGAGGTGGAGGCTACAGTGACCTGAGATTGTGCCATTGCACTCTAGCCTGGGTGACAGAGTGAGAAAAAAAAGACCCTTGTATAAAGGAAAGTTCTTGTCATGCCACGACCTAATGAAGTGATGATAGGTGAGAGAAGTAGTTTGCCCATGGATACAGGGTGACTTACCTCTACTTGGCTTTGCATGGGAAGGAAAAGTCAATTTCACCTAAGAAATTGAAATGTTCCTGTGCCTGGTAAAAGGCTGAAGTTGGAGTTTTTACTCACCAAAGTCTAGGAATTCCTAAGCCAAGGTTGAAATATCGGTATTGGTCCCAGAGTGATGACACTGCTCTGCTAGGCGGCCGGAGCAAATGCAGAACCACCCTGGAGGATGTGTGCCACAACTCGGGCCTCAGGGGACACTCACAGAAAGGAATCCTGCAGGGACGAGCTCTCAGCAAAGCGTGACAAAACACCAGAGGAGACGTCCCACAGTGAGCAGGAGTCAGTAGACACAGATAGGTGACCTAGAGTCCCCAGCCCCTGAGCTTGCAGTATAGTATGACAGCCCAAAAGGGAGTAGAAAAAGAAGAAAAGCCCTGCATTTATTTCATGAGACCAGAATAATCTAAATACCACAGCCGGATGGAGACAGCACAAGAAAGGAAAATCATAGGCTAGTCTTATTTGCATAGACTCAAAAGTCCCAATTAAAATGTTAGCAAACGAAATCCAGCAGTTGTGTGTTTATGAATATGTAGGAACTTACATCCAACAAGCTTATTTTAGGATGCCAGGATGATTTAATATTAGGAACTCTATTGATGTAGATTAAAGAAGAAAAACATTTTCTCAATAGATGTGGAGAAGTCTGAGGCTAATTCCCCTAATAGAATATGCATTCCTCATGCATGAATAAATAAGAGTGATCACCGGCTGTCACTGGCTAAGACTGCGAGACATTTTAAAGAAAGCGGAAGAAAGACAGTCTCAGGAATAGGTTAAACTGGAGAGACAATACACGCACAACAAACAGCTGCAAGACTGTTTAAAGCCACGCAAGTGCAGGACTGGCGTCAGGTTGTGTCTGGGTGTGGGGCGGGAGTTCGTGGCTCTGTGTCCTGGTAATGCAGATGTTGCCCTTTTGTTTCAGTTTTTCTTCTTTCGGAGACGTGGCCTGCATGGCTATCTGCTCCTGCCAGTGCCCAGCAGCCATGGCCTTCTGCTTCCTGGAGACGCTGTGGTGGGAATTCACGGCTTCCTATGACACCACCTGCATTGGCCTAGCCTCCAGGCCATACGCTTTTCTTGAGTTTGGTTTGTAATCTTCTTTCATATTTATTGTTCTCACCCATGTTGTTATATGTGTAGAATTTACAGTTTAGGTTTGGCTTTGACCATCAGGAAAACCATTGGAGATGCAAACATGTCACTGAAGAACAGACTTGTACTGTGGGATTTCATAGCGATTGAAGTGGACTGGAAAGCTTCAGGGTTTAACACTCTGGCTTTTCATCTCCGCAGAGCCTGGGCCAGGGTAGAGGCAGGCTGAAATGGGTTAGTTATAATCCACAGCTCTCTGAGGCTGGTGTCAGCAAATGCTGGCCCTTTGGCCAGCTGCCAGCCACCTGTTTTGTAAATAAAAGTGGAACATGGCTATGCTCATTCATTTACATGTTGTCTGTGGCTGCTTTTGCCCTATGACGGCAGAGTTGAGTTGTGACAGAGACCATGTAGCCAGCAGCCTAAAATATTTACTAACTGGCACTGTAAGAAAATTTTGTTGATCCCTGCCTGAGAGCATTGCTACTCAAAGCTCAGGAGTTCAAGACCAGCCTGGGCAATATAATGAGAACTTGTCTCTACAGAAAAATAATTTAAAAATGAAAAAAATTAGCCAGGTATGGTGGCACACATCTGTGGTCTCAGCTACTTGGGAGGCTGAGGTGGGAGAATCACTTGAGCCCAGGAGGTCAAGGCTGCAGTGAGTTGTGATCACGCCACTGCATTAGACCCCATAGTGGTCAGCAGTGAGACTATCTTCAAAAAAAGAAATGTGAACTTCATTTAGTACATATTGTCTAATAATATCCATTCTGATGAAAATGCTGAACTTGTGTGGCTCTCTTTTTGCAGACAGCATCATTCAGAAAATGAAGTGGCATTTTAACTGTGTAAGTTCCTCTCAGATGGAGAGCAGCCTGCAAAAAATTCATGAGGAGCTCAGGTCGCAGCCTCCAGTGGTTCTCACTCTGGAGGACACAGATGTGGCAAATGGGGTGATGAACGGCCACACACCGATGCACTTGGAGCCTGGTAAGCTTGCCGTTCCCTGATGTTGATGAAGTGATACTGTGTATTTCAAATGGACATTGATTTTTTTTTTTTTTTTTTTTGCTAGAAAGCTGTTTTTTGGGGAGAAGGAGTGGCATAAAATGTGCTGAGAAAAATATGGACCAATCCTGTTTCTTGGTGGCTGTTACAAAAATTTGACTACAGGCCAGGTGCGAAGGCTCACGCCTGTAATCCTAGCACTTTGGGAGGCCAAGGCAGGCAGATGACTTGAGTCCCAGAGTTTGAGACCAGCCTGGGCAACATGGAGAAACGCCATCTCTGTCAAAAATACAAAAAAGTAGCCAGAGGTGGTGGCTTGTGCCTGTAGTCCCAGCTACTCCAGAGACTGAGGTGGGAGAATCACCTGAGCCCAGAAAGTCAAGGCTGCAGTGAGCCATGATTGTGAGCCACTGCACTTTAGCCTGGGTGACAGAATGAGAACCTGTCTCAAAAAAGAAAAAAATTGACTGTTAAGACAGTGGATTGGTTTGAGGGAGGCTATTGTGATGAAAATCAGGAGCTGAAGAGTGATTTGACAGGATCTTTTCTTTTCTTTTTCTTCTTCTTCTTTTTTTTTTTTTTTAAATAGAGGCAAGGTTTCCTATGTTACCTCCCAGGCTGGCCTCGAACTCCTGGGCTCAAGCCATCATCCTCCCACCTCGGCCTTTCAGAATGATGGGATTATAGGTGTGAACTACCATGTCCAGCTGGCAGGTTATTTTTTTAATTAGGATGAAATCTACAAGTTTATTATTATTATTATTATTATTAATTTTTGAGGTAGAGTCTCACTCTGTCACCCAGCCTGGAGTGCAGTGGAATAATCTTGGCTCACTGCAACCTCTGCCTCCTGGGTTCAAGTGATTCTCCTGCCTCAGCCTTCCAAGTAGCTGGGACTGTGCATGTGCCACCATGTCCGGCTAAATTTTGTATTTTTTAGTAGAAATGGGGTTTCACCATATTGGACAGGCTGGTCTTGAACTCCTGACCTCATGATCCGCCTGCTTCGGCCTCCCAAAGTGCTGAGATTACAGGCGTGAGCCACTGTGCCTGGCAAGTTTGTTATTTTTAAATTTTATCTATTTATTTATTTATTAAGTCCAAGTTGTTCTGACAGAACTATAAGTTTAAATGTTATAAAGAAGATTCATTCTCTTTTCTGTAAGTTACTTATTGAACTGTATAGATTTGTATTATATATATACACATATAAAATATATATATATACACATATATGTGTATATATATATAGTATACATATACACATATACACGGGTATATGTGAATATATAATATATCTATACGTAAATATGTATATATATATATTATATCTATACGTATATATATGTATAGATATATTGTATCTATATGTATATATACGTATAGATATATTATATATATATATATATAGAGAGAGAGAGAGACAGAGACAGAGACAGAGAGAGAATCCTTATCTCGTCATATTATTTAGTGAAATGTTGTAGATCTGAAACCCCTGCTCTTCTGGTTGGAGGGAGGGCAATGGGGATAGAGCGCTGGCAGGGGCCAGAGCCTGGGCTTCTGATGTTCTCACTGTCTGGCTCTCCCTGAGAACTGGGATCTCCCTGTGTCCCTGTGGCTTTCAGAGTCCTCATCTGAAGAAAGAGGTCTTAATGAATGTGATCACAGCGCCCTGACATTCCATGACTTTGTCATTACCATCATTAGCCACTCAATGCTTAGCACATAACAAAGCCTGATGTTTTGCATTCCTGTTTACTGTTACATACAATTAAATTAATATTTAATTATAGTGGATGTTTACGTTCTAAGAATTCTGTAGTGGCATAAGAGCTGAATCCTTTGCTAAAAGAACTGTCTCACTATAGTGTCTAATTATTTTGTTTTTAACTGTTTTATGCTAAAGTCATTGCTTGAATTTTAAAAGTGATGTATTAAAAATGTTCATGGTTCTGACTTAAGTCTGTGTTTTAGTTTAATGTGTTTCAGCCAATACTTGGATTGGCTCTCATGCCAGTCAATAAGTGGTTCCAGTTTATGTTGAGAATAAACTTAATTTTTGCAAAAGGAAGACTGGGTGATCGAGCTCCAAGCTTCTCCCTTATCATATACGAGTGCAGGCATATCTTTGTAATCTGTATTTTGTTTTTAAACACTTAGACAAGAGGAACAAACCCAGAAAGTGTCACCTTGCCCGTCTTTCTAGGACATTTTACTGTGATTGATTTACCCTATTGTCCTGAGGTTAGACTCTTCACAGGTAGCATATTCTGCTCCAACAGTAACTTTGAATTGCTCAGTGGAAACTCTAACACACTAACAATAGGCATAGTTGGATTGTGGCTAGTATTTCTGTGTGTGTGAAATATAAGGGCAAGAAAGGAGGATGGCGAGACAATGGGAGGGACACCAGTTAATTGTGTGAACCAAAATCAATTTCAGTGGTTGTCTTTACAGAGAAAATGAAAATTTGTTCTAACTATAGTTCTAGAAACAGCTTGTAACCTAAATAATCAGTGCTTCCTTCTTTCCTGTTAGTTTAGAATTTAAAAAATTGCATTTGCTGTGAATTGCTCTAGAAGTGCATGTGACATCGCATATTGTCATTGTCAGAAAGAGGACAAGCTGAATGTTGAGGCATATGATAGAAATGCTTTAAACGTTTCACAACCAATTACAAATAAAGCCTTGGTCCTCTCTGGTAGTATAAGACATTGTATTATTTATTTAATTTTTTTGAGACAGGGTCTTGCTCTGTCTCAAGGCTAAAGTAGAGTGGTAGGATCTCTGCTTACTGCAACCTCCACCTCCACGGCTCAAGCTATCCTCCCACCTTAGCTTCCTGAGTAGCTGGGACTACACCTGGCTAATTTTGGGGTGTGTGTGTGTGTGTTTGTATATTTCTTTTTGATAGAGATGGGGTTTCACCATGTTGCCCAGCTGGTCTTGAACTCCTGACTTCAAGTGATTCTCTCACCATAGCCTCCCAAAGTGCTGAGATTACAGGCGTGAGCCACTGCATCTGAACTTTTTTTTTTTTTTTTGAGACAAGGTTTTGCTCTGTTGCCCAGGCTTGAGTGCAGTGGTGTAATCATGGCTTACTGCAGCCTCAACCTCCCAGGCTCAGGTGATCCTCCTACCTCAGCCTCCCAGGTAGCTGGAACTACAGGTATGTGTCACCATGCCTGGATAATTTTTTGTATTTTTTTTTTGTAGAGACAGGGTCTCACTATGTTGCCCAGGCTGGTTTTGAACTCCTGGGCTCAAGTGATCTATTGCCTGCCTCAGCCTCCCAGAGTGCTGGCATTATAGGCGTGTACCACCTTGCCTGACCCAGAAATTGTTTTAGGATTTTTCAGCCTAATCCCTATTGACGTTTTTGCATCAGATAATTCTTTATTATGGAGGCTGTCCTGTGCATTCATTGTAGGATGTTTAGAAGCATTCCTGGCCTCTACCCACTAGATGCCAGTAGCAGCCTGTCTCTAGTTGTGACAACCAGAAATGACTTCAGACATTGCCAGATATCCACTGGGGGGCAGATTGCCCCTGGTTGAAAACCACTACTTTAGATAGAAAGTACTTGAAAAACCTGTGCTTGCCTGGAATAGAGCCTTTTTCTGGAAGAAACTTTCCTCAGGTACCCACATCCATTCTGTCCATCATTTCTTGCCTTTTTTCCCCTTTAACTGCTGCTGCTTTTATAATTAACATGTTTATAATTCTGTGTTTAACATAGTGAACCTATCATTAGTGTAAGTCTAGTTCATGTCTTTATTTTTCTTTCATATAGAAATTATTTTCACTAGACACTTGTTTTTTTTTCATTGTGAAGCTCCTAATTTCCGAATGGAACCAGTGACAGCCCTGGGCATCCTCTCCCTCATTCTCAACATCATGTGTGCCGCCCTGAATCTCATTCGTGGAGTTCACCTTGCAGAACATTCTTTACAGGTAACCTTTTTTTAAAAAAATAGTTTAAATTGAAGGACATAGGACAGAAGAAAGTGATAGAGATAGATTTTATCTATAACGTTATTAAACACTGAGATTACAATTTTTCAAATCTAATATGAATTTTCTTTTTTTTCTTTTTTTTTTTTAAGATGGGGTTTCACCATCATGGCCAGGCTGGTCTTGAACTCTTGACCTCAGGTGATCCACCCACCTCGGCCTCCCAAAGTGCTAGGATTACAGGCGTGAGCCACCACGCCCAGCCTCTAATATGAATTTTATTCTAAATTTTATTCTTTGTAGTAAGTTGAATGACTATATTAGTTACTTTTTTATGTCTCTTGTCCTAAGAGGCCAGAGGGGTGTGCCAAGATATTGGTAACAAATGGAGAATTTGCAGCAAGGACCTTAGACCACCCTATGGCTCTTGGGACCCCAGGAGTTACTCCAGGGACTGGGTTATTTACCCAGGATGGAAGTTTCATTCTCTCATTTTAAGGGTTCAGGCTCTTTTTCACCTGAGAAAATATTATCATGTAATCTGATTTATATAATGCAGATGCCACCTTCCTTGTGTCTTGTCAATGAACTATGTATCACTAGGAAGTTCTTTCGCTGGTCTGCTCATCTCAAAGGAACTTACTGTTTCAGTGCTTTTTAAAAGTAGTTTTAAAATTTTGAAGTATTTGAAATACTTTAAGAAGGTATAGGCTGAGTGTGGTGGCTCATATCTGTAATCCCAGCACTTTGTGAGGTTGAGGCGGGTAGATCACCTGAGGTCAGTAGTTCGAGACCAGCCTGGCCAACATGCTGAAACCCTATCTCTACTAAAAATACAAAATTAGCCTGGCATGGAGGCGCATGCCTATAATCCCAGCTACTCAGGAGGCTGAGGCGGGAGAGTTGCTTGAAACTAGGAGGCAGAGGTTGCAGTGAGCCGAGATCGCGCCATTGCACTCCAGCCTGGGCAATAAGAGAGAAACTTTGTCTCAAAAAAAAAGGTATAGAACCATTATTAGTATCAACAGATAGATATTACTTTTAAAGATAGAGCCACCATGTTCACAGTCATGCACATGGTATAAAGTCTGAAGCATAACTGGTACTGAACCTCAGGAGACTGATGGAGACTGACCTGTTTGGAGAATGGCGGCAGGCCTGTGTCATGAGTAGTAGTTGCCTCTTATCACATCCTGTATTTGATCAATGTGTGATGTGATTTCTACTCTGATTGATTATGATTGCTCTTAACCAGCTGCTTACCAACCGTCTGTTTGTTTGTATACATTAGAATAGGTACCTGGCCAGCAAGATAGTTAAGACATAGTCCCTCCCTGCCTTGGGACTCTTGTGGCCCAAACAGTGTGTAGTGGCAACATTAAGGAGGTGGCAGTGCCTGGGAATGGGAGGAATTAGAAAAAGCTTGGTCTTGACAGACGCTTAGGGTTCTGAGAGGTGGAGGGATGACGTCTCATTCCAGGTTGAAGGCAGGAGGCACGTGCTATGACCAGGCTGCTGAAAACGGTTGTATGCTAGCTCTGACCTGGTGCATAAACAGGAACTTGTGTCTCCCCCAGCCGGGGATTTTGTACTGTCAACCATAGGAGATGGAAGGCGGAGAAACGTGCTTTATGTCAGTGTTTTCTTCCATTTGAATACCCCTTTCCTTGTGTTCCTTGTATTTGTTTTAGGTTGCCCATGAGGAGATGGGAAACATTCTGGCTTTTCTTGTTCCTTTTGGAGCCTGCATTTTCCAGGTGGGTGAAATGATATTTTGATGAGTGGATTAAATCCCCGACCTTATTTTGTTTTTCTCTTCATCTATCAGCAAGTTTCTACCTGTGATTTTTGTTCCACCAAAGTCATGGTGCAAATCAAGGGCAATACGAAGCACTTAGTGGAGGACCTTAGGCCCATCCTGCCCAGTCCTCTTATTTTACAGAGGAAGAACTTAGTGCTCAGAAAGGGAAAGCCCCTTGTTCAAGGCCAAGGGTGGCTCATGCTTGTAATCCTAGCACTTTGGGAGATCCCCTACAGATCACTTGAGGCCAGGAGTTCAAGACCAGCCTGGGCAACTTGGTGACACCCTGTCTCTATTATAATAAAAATACAAAAGTTAGCCGAGTGTGGTGGTGCATACCTGTTGTCCCAGCTACTCAGGAGGCTGAGGCATGAGAATTGCTTGAACCAGGGATTCAGAGGTTGCAGTGAGCTGAGATCAACGCCACTGCATTCCAGCCTGGGCAAGAGAGCAAGACATTGTCTAAAAGAAAGAGGAAAAGCATTACCTGATTGTACAAAAAGAAATTTTCAACCCATGAAAATGCACTCATTTTTTAGAAAACAAGTCTCCGAGACCATGGGCATAGCCAGTGGCAGTTTCCTGGAGCAGTGTTTGAGGACTGCAGGATTGCACAGTTCCACCTGACTCCTTCAGATGTGCTCCTAGGTGGAGAGCTCCTTCCGTGGAGGGCTCACTCCCTCCCTCTGTAGGCTGAACCTTTGTTGGATTGATCCATGTTCAGCGAATGTCCTTTTTAAAAAAAAAAAAAACAGAAAAACGAACAACATTGAACCAAAATGCTGTTTCCACCTTCTGCAGAACAAGAATGGCCCCTTTTATGTGTGATAGTCATATACAAAATACCAGTCCTTCTCCTGCTGTGAGACCTTTCCCCGACTTGGAGATGCTGTGGAAGACATGATAAGGAGGCTGCCCAAGGGAAGACTGGGGACTTGGTGTAGTCATGGCTCAGGAGAAACCAAAACAGTAAAGGCATGGCTTCCTCTCACCAGCTTGCCTGCCCGTCATGGCTCCGTGAAGGGAAACTTCCCTGGGAGGCCAGTCAGTCCTGTTAGGGCCCCTGGCTTGGCTGCCTGTGGCTTATCTGCAGCGCTTCCTTCTTTACAGTGGCCTGGGCATTTCTGTTCTTGAACTTCTTTCAGGTGTGCCATGCACTGCTTCTTCTGGTGACATCTATTTCACTTTCCTTTAATCTTCCAAATCGTCACTTTCATCCCGTGATTAGCAACAGCCTAACCAGTGGGTTCACGCTTCATGGTAATGAATTCAATTTAATCCACTAGTGTGAGAGAAATGACCCTCTTCATGGAAGCTGTGGGAGGTGAATTTTGCATGTTATCTAGTGGCCATTTTATCTCTGATTGGAATTCCTCTTCTGGTCTCATTTCAGTGTTATTTGTACCTGTTCTACAGTCCAGCCAGGACTATGAAGGTGGTGCTGCTGCTACTCTTTATTTGCCTGGGCAACATGTACCTGCACGGGCTGAGGAACCTTTGGCAAATCCTTTTCCACATAGGAGTGGCTGTTCTGTCTTCGTATCAGATACTAACAAGGCAGCTTCAGGAGAAGCAGTCTGACTGTGGAGTATGAGGATGACACTGTGATGAATGGATTCTTTGATTTTCTTTTGAGAATCATTCTCTGTTTCTCTTTCTGCTTCTCTACTTTACACTCCAGTTTCCATCCATCCTTTTCAGCCAACTGGACTGAACAGCGAGGAATTGGGGATGTTACACAGTTGCAGGGAAGTCATGAGGCCACCGGATACCCAGCCTTGGTTCTGCGCCGAGCACGACTGCAGGGTCTGCAGTTCAGCACGTTTACTTAGGATAGCTCGGAAAGAGCTTTGCTGGAAGAGCCGAAAGGAAATAGTTTGGTCTTTTAAACTGAATGATGCAGTAAGCCACGAGTTTCAGTAACACTGGTTTTAGTAATTGGCAGTTGTCTTCAAGGAACCACTTTAAAATCCAGATCAGCTTCAGTCTAAATATAAATTGGTTAGGCTTTTTTTTTTTTTTTTTTCCCAGAGGGTCAGGACAGGGTGAATTAAAAACCTAAAAATATGGTTCGTAAATAAAAGCTAGATAAATTTTGTTTACATTTTTTTGATATCTTAGGTTTGATATACCTTTGGAATATTTAAATATATTTTGGATATAATTTGGACTTCATTTAGGGTGGGCAAACAAGCTGAGAAAATGGTTAAGAAATCTAGGTTAATTTAATTTATATGTACTCTTTTATGGTGGTGGAACTGTGTGGCTCCAGGAATGTAATATATTTATTTGCAGGATATATCTGAATACTTTTATAATTAATTGAATAACAAGTACTAGATGATAAGTTTATCAGCATGAGCAGAAATGAGAATTTCAGGATTCTTCACAGTTGGCCACAGCCTGGAGTAGATGAACGTGCATTCCGTGGCACGTTACAGACCAGCTGGAGACGCTGCTCTCATCAGCCTTTTCAGTAGAGCTGAGAGCCTGTTGTTCTAATGACGATGACTGCTGCACCCTGTGTGCAGGTTCCCAGAACGCCTCCAAAATTAATCACTCCTCTGCAACTTTCCCATCATTTAATTAGCTTGAGGGCCTCGTTTTTGATGAACAAGAGTTAAATAGCTGTTAACTTTTTAAAGCTTTATAGAGATATAATTAACACATACTCTGGAAAGTTACTTTCTTTCATTGTCAAAAAATTGATTGATCATAGTTTTCCAAAATATGGTTCTGGGTAAGATCCCTTAGGTCTCCCAGAATTTCAGCTTGGCCTGTTTAGTGCCACTCCGGAGGCCATTTTGGGAGTCTGCTGTTTGGATTGCTCTCGGCAGAAGTCTGGAATCTGAATAGTTCAACCACAGTTGCATGGAACACTTTTAGTTGAATTATGTAGTCCTAATACGTTTTTAAAAAATCTTATTTTGATAGTTGTTAAAAGTGGAACACCATTACAAGAGCTGAGTGGCGAGGGAGAGTCAGGCGTAGTTTTAGGAAGTTGAGTGGCATTTGGTTATCACTGGTGGTGTTCAGCTACCTTGGTATCATTTTAAGAAAAACGAATTTATATACTGGGAACTATGTTGGGAAAATGTTGCCATAGTAACTTTATTTTTTATAACAGAATTTTCTATTTTTGGCCAAACGTAGAATATCTGGATATGGGCCGGGCACGGTGGCTCATGCCTGTGCTCCCAGGACCTTGGAAAGCCAGAGCAGGACAGTCAGTTGAGGCCAGTTGTTTGAGACCAACCTGGAAAACACAGTAAGACCCATCTCTACAAAAACAAACAAACAGCAACAAAAAAGTTAGCCGGATGTGATGCACATGCCTGTAATCCCAGCACTTTGGGAGGCCGGGATTCAGTGAGCTGTAATCACCCCACTGCACCCTGGCCTGCGTGACAGAGTGAAACCCTGTGTAAAAAGCCTGGATGGGAAGATTATATTGGCAGCATGCTCAGACATAAACTCCAACGCTGTCTCTCCATTGATTTCACATCTGCATAATTTTCTGCATACCCAGCAGGCAAATTTTCAGTCTTTCTGGGAGACAGTTTTGAAGACATGGTGAAATAAAATGGGAAGTTAAGGAGGGGAGGAAAATCATTTTAAATGAGAAGCACAAAAAAGCTTTAAAGTTGATAAGAACAGCTTGAAAATGGACTGTTTTCTTTTTAAGCCAGTGTGGCATTGGGTTGCCGTGTAGACCTGTATCCCGGGTGCTTTGGGCATCTGAGCCTACGGTCCGTATTCAGCAGGCAGTAAAGAAATGGTCCCTGAAGATGAGTCCTTCATGGTAACGCTTCCTGACCTCTGAGGCCTACCTGAATGTGTGGATATCTGTTAACATCTGTATGGGGTGAGATTGACTTTTGCAAACAAAAGGGAAAAGAGGCACTAGGAAAACAGTACAAATAATGACCACAACATTGATTGAAATCCCGTCGGCTAAAAGAATCCTCCACTCACTGAAGGAGGACTGATAATAGGAAGGAAGTCCTGGTGATTTCATCCTGGGGAATCCACAGGCTTAGGTTTGACTGGGTTCTGGGTCAGAGGTTTATAACCTCCTGTGTGACCCTCCCTACCAGCACGCTGGTTCCAAATCTCAGGAGTTCCCTCACTCCACCACAGATTCACTGCTGCAGCACTTTTGCTTTCCCGGTGGTTAAATGCTTCTTGTGCAGCCGACCTCACTCGGCTGGATCTGGGAGTAGATGAAATAGTGTTGGAAACAAAACTTTGAGGGTGCCTTCTGGTGTCAGATGCTGCAAGGCCCTGAGCATCAGAGTGTGTTAAGTCCTAGCTACTGTACCGGGCCAGAGTATGCCTCAGTGCTCTTAGGAAGGGTTTCCCAACCAAGGGGCCGAAGCCCAAAAGCTTTCCCCTTCCCTAGTATGCTAGGGAAGGAAGCGTGTACGTCTGTTTTCCCCCATGAGGCTAGACTGACAGTGATATGGACTGTGCTTGGCTTTCCTCTTCCTGAGTGGAGACAGCGGGGGCATATTCGGGTGGCATTCCCACTGCCTGCAGCAGGAGGCACGTGACTGTGAGCTCCTGGTTTTGCTTTTTGGGCTTGTGCCCCTCTTTTCTGTGAACTCTGGAGAATGCTGAAATTAAAGCATTAAAACATTTTGATCAAATGAGCTTGAGCTCCTCTGTTCTTTTCTAGGTGCTTTCGTTCTCTGACTCTTGTGCCGCTTTCTACCTCTGCCCTGTACACTCCGGCTCGGAGACAGAGGCTGAAACTGGAGTGTGTGGAGGGATGAGAAAGCCACCTTTAACTGGGTGGGTAGACAGGCTTCAGAGTGGGAGAAGACTGCATTGAGGTTCAGCTCTCCACCCATGCCTGGGAGTCAAGTCTTGGAGAGGATGAACACTCTCGGTCAGCACAGCTCAGAATCAGAGATAACAAGGCAGGCCGTGTGAAGCACAGGAAGCAGGGTGTAGGCAGGGAGCAGAGCTGGGGCTTCTCCCTCTGCTGGAAGATAGCAACTGCCCCTTGGCATATGGGGGCCGCATGCTGCACCTTGCAGCCAGGGCCACCATTTGCCCTTCTATGAAAGTTGGCCACTCATTGTAACATGCAGGACAGTGGCCTTCTGAGAACCTGCTGCTTGCACAGTGCCGTGTGAGTGAGGACAGGCAGGAGTGGGAGTGTTCCTGGTGATCAGATGTGCCTTGCAAGCTGCTGTTCAGCCATTGCTCACATTCCACATGTTTTTGCACAGAATACTGCACAGGTCTGGGGAGCTCTGTCTGCACTGTGAGTATTAATAATGGTGGAGGAAGGGCGTAGCTGTGCACTTGAGCGATAACGTGAGGGAGAGCAGCAGCCAGCTGACTGTCAGCTGGCTAGGCTCTTCACCGAGTCCTGTGTCACCATGCACAAATCGTTGCCCATCAGACCTTGGTTTCCTCATCTGATAAATGGTGATAACATCAATCTGCACCCCCGCTGCTGTTATGAGGGTCAAAACGGGTAGTGGAGGGGAGTACTGGGTGAATCCATTGTGTGTGGGAGGGATTTTTCTGCATGCTTCAGGCAGCACAGCACAGCCGTTTCTCCTGGCTTTACAAAAAGGCATTTTGTTATACAGTGTAAAGGGCCTCATTTTTTCACTCCAAAAGGTAGCAGCCCCTTGTCTTCCCACGCTGGACCTGACTTCTCCCTGGGCACAGAGCCCGTGGTACCATTGGTGTCTGGTTTATTCTGGGATCCAGGGAGCTGGTTCTGCTGGTTGGGCCAAACCTCATGAGCCATCCCTGATCCAAATGAGAGGTCTGATTCTCCCATCTGGGAGCAGAGGGAAATCTCATCAGCAGGGAAGCTGTGGCAAAGGCCTTGTCAGTAAATCTGGGAATGGCTGGATACGGAAACATCTGCCCATGTGTACTGATGGCAGAGCTGTTCCCCACAAGAGCCTTTTATTTAGGGTAAAATTAACAAACCCATTCTGTTCCTCCAACCCATGCTTGGTACATATGACCTTCTTTAACCCTCACGTTTATGTGATTCTGGGGTTGCTTCAGAAGTGTTATTTAGTGAATCATTCATATGATTTGATCCTCCAGGATTCTATTTTGTTTAACGGGCTTTTCTATTAAGAGCATAAAATACTGAGGCTGATTTAGTCAGGGTAAAACCATTTACTTTGCATATTTTAAATACCTGCTATTCATGTTACACAAGCTTCTTAACGGTTTTCTTGTAACAATAAATATCTATTTTGAGTAACTAATGGGTACATTTTAACAGACTCATATAGTAGTATAACCTAAACTTGTATAAAGTATGTAAAAATGTATAGCCATTTATATCCTATGTATACATAAATGAGGTGGCTTCAGAAATGGCAGAATAAATATAAAGTGTTTATTAACATGTGTCTTTGCACTTGGGTGAAAAATTCGGAAATATGGAGGCTTTCCTAGACGGTATGATGTGGGTCTGACATAATGGGAGCGGGGTTGCTGAGAGACGTGAAAGTCAGGTCATCTTGTCCAGTGAGGCCTGGACAGGTGCAAGGGCTCAGAAAGTCTTTAGCATGAATCCCCAACCGAAGCGGCAGTGGCGACGGTGCCCTGGGGCTGGGTGGCCTGCCCTGCCCTGTGCGGCCTGTGTTTCCCCTGCCTTCGTTTTAGGCTCTTGTCCACTATGAAGGTGAAGTTTCATCTCCCAGGGCCAGCCTGACCACATGGCCACCAGGGGGCGCAGCTGCTGGCCACATCATCAGGTTTCCAGCCAAGGGACGGTGGCCTTTTGCAAAGGCCGTTCCTGCAGCAGCTGATAAAGTTCCCAGAAAGGAAGCGAATGCACTAACCCCTCCTGACCATCCTCTACACACATCGGGGAATTCACTTTCCAAGAGTCTGCACCATCTGCCCTGAGTCAGAATCTTTCAGAGGAAGGCAGTGACTTCCAAAATAAACATCGGAGTTACTGGGGGCTAGGATTTGGGAGCTGACAGTTTTCAGACACCATCTGAAACTTTTTTGCTCAGGTGGGGAAGGTGAGGCTTGTCCAGGGCGCCAATAACAGCAAAATTCAGAGCTGTTTCCCCTGAGCGGGAAACGGGCCGCCCCCACTAGGCAGAACCCACAAAGAATAAAAGCAGATTCTGGCCCAGGAAAGTGTTCCTCCTATGCCGGCAGGGCTGGATGAGAAGCTCTGGCTGGTGAGTTGCCTTATTTTTTCTTGGGCCCTACCCCTTGAGGGGGTCCAGGCACCAGCGTGCTGCCGCACAGCTGCCAAGCGTCTTTGGGCAGTGCCAGTGGAGGAGATGGCTCTGCGAGGAGGGAGCCCACCTGGCTCTGCTGAGTCAGCACCAAGATGTTGCTGGGATCAGATGTGGATGGCAAAACCTATGAAGCACCCTGAAGAACTTGAAGATTACCTTCGCGGCCCGTGGCGGAAAAGGACTTCTTAACAAAAATGTCACAGGCACAGCCCTTAAGGCAAAATGATCGATGAATTTGATGATACACAAATAAGGATTTTTTTTTATGGGCAAAGTTAAAAGGATGGGAGGAGATATTTTTGATGCCAGAAACCAATAAGGGATTAATACACACAGAAGAAATTCCTGTAAACCAGTTTACAGAAGAGGACACCTAAAATGCGAACAAGCATAATAAGCATATGGAGATTTAAAGTAATTGGCAATACACGTTAAGACAATCATAAGACATCCCCTTACACCTGTGAGTTTGGCAAATCTTGCAAAGCTGGATGACACCAAGTGCGGGGCGGTGGGGAGTGTGGGGATGCAGGACCTCGTGTGACCCGGCAGTGAGAAGGGAGGCACAGCCGATCTGCAGAGCCATGCTGTGGCGAGGGGCTGAATTCTGTCCCCACCCATGGGAAAATGAATGTCTGCTTAAACCACCCAGACGGTGGTACTTGGTTAGGGCAGCCTTAACAAACGAATAAAGCCTGTTTACCCAAGAGTGCACACCTTGTGAAGTGGAAATTTGACTCCTGATTATATGTCCCGGGAAAATTCTTACACAGATCCTTAAGGGGACATGTTCCTTTAAGAATTATTGGTGTTGGCCAGGCGTGGTGGCTCACCCCTGTAATCCAAGCACTTTGGAGGCCAAGGCGGGTGGATCACCTGAGGTCGGGAGTTCAAGACCAGCCGGACCAACAAGGTGAAACCCCGTCTTTTATTTTTTTTTTAACTATTTCATCATTTCAAGCATTGGTGGTATTCAGGCTAGGACTTGGTATAGGCCTCTCTAAACGAGCCAACTAATCAAGACTCAATGCATTCTTTTTTTTTTTTAGAGGGAAAAAGAGAAAAAGAAGAGGAAAAAAAGAAAAAGAGGGAAAAAGGAATATTACTTCATTCCTAAAATGGGTTTCAATAATGGCCGATCAATATTTTGAGTGTTTAAAGTGGTTAATGCATATTTTACGTGTTTAAAATGGAGAACTCTATTGTGTTTATTTGTTCTGGCTCTGAGTTCAAGTCCCAGATATCGTTATCAATTTGTTGTCTCGTTGAATCTAAATCTCATTATGTGTCTTATGTATCTGGGTGTTAAGATCTCTTATTATTACATTAATCCTTTTACCCTTGCATCCTTGTAGCTTTGATATCTATTTCATTAAGTGTGAGAATTGCAACTCCTGCTTTTTATTTATTTATTTTTGCTCTCCATTTGGTTGGTGAGTTTTTTCCATCCCCTTGTTTTGAGTCTTTATATATCTTTAGATATATCGTTAGATTTTGTGGATAATGTATATTTTGTGTGTTTAAAATGGAGAGCTCTATTGAGTTTATTTGTTCTGGATCTTAGTTCCAGTCCCGGATATCGTTATCAATTTGTTGTCTCGTTGAATCTAAATCTCATTATGTGTCTTACGTATCTGGGTGTTAAGATCTCTTATTATTACATTAATCCTTTTACCCTTGTATCCTTGTAGCTTTGAAACCTATTTTGTCAAATGTGAAAATTGCAACTCCTGCTTTTTATTTATTTATTTTTGCTCTCCATTTGGTTGGTACTTTTTTTTTTCCAACCCTTTATTTTGAGTCTATGTATATCTTTGGATATACTGTTAGATTTTGTCTGTATCTTTTGATTGGGAGATTTGGTCGATTTAAATTTAGGGTTGCTGCCATTTGCTATTAACTGGCTATTTTGTCCTTTCGTTGATAAAAATTCTTCTTTATGTTAATGCTCTTTACTTTTTGGTGTATTTTTAGAAAGACCCTGAAACCCTGTCTTTTTTAAAAAAAAAAAAAAAAAAAAGAATTATTGGTGTTGGTGGAAAGCAATCTGTGTATCCACCATGGAGCATCACGATGCAGGCAGATGTACCAGATTTAGATGTAATGTCACATGGATGAATCTTCAAAACTTAGAGCTGAGTGAAAAATGACTGTTATATGATAAGAGATATATGCATACAAAATGAGAAAATATTTTCTGAGGATAAATGCAAAAGATATGTGTTAAATACACTTGAATGGCTGCTTACAAGGGACCAGGAGTTTGGGAATTAGGTCTAGGGATAAGGAATTGTTTTAAAAAGACAGTTGTGGGCCAGGTGCAGTGGCTAATGCCTATAATCCCAGCACTTTGGGAGGCCAAGGTGGGTAGATCACGAGGTCAGGAGTTCAAGACCAGCCTGGCCAAGATTGTGAAACCCCGTCTCTACTAAAAATGCAAAAATTAGCCGGGTTTGGTGGTGGGCTCCTGTATTCCCAGCTACTCAGGAGGCTGAGCAAGAATTGCTTGAACCTGGCAGGTGGAGGTTGCAGTGAGCCGAGATCGTGCCACTGCACTGCAGCCTGGGCAACAGAGTGAGACTCCATCTCAAAAAAAAAAAGAAAAAAAAAAGGAGTGTTGCTGAAGTCAGCAGTTGGTTCTGAGAGCTCTGGGAGAATGAGGTGGGTCTGCTTTTCCCTGCGAGATCTTGTTCTGGCCGTGCCCAGCCCTGCGGTTAACACGATGTGATTGAGAAGGCTGGCCGTTGTGGGCTCTAAAGCCCCATATGATGCTCGAGTGTTGGAGGCTCCAGGGCTGCAGCGGTGGTGGGGGGAGGGTGCAGGGAAACTGAAGCCTGGGGCTATATTGGTCAGCGAGGGCTCTGGAAGCCATGGGGGGCTTGGGTGGGGAAGAGCAGAGAGGAGAGACTCCAGAGGGGAAAGTGGGCAGGGGAGCTGGCTGTGACTGCCAAGCCACTGGGGACTCTCTCCTCCCCATATTCCAGCTGTTTGCTGGCCAAGACTTTCCCATGTGAGGCACTGAGCTGAAGGGCTCTCGCAAGGACAAGGAACACAGCTGCAGTGGGACAGAGGTGGCCTCAGGGCGATTTCTTCCTCCCACCCCAGGAATAGCCGCTTCTGCCCACAGAGCCCAGAGTGTGAGCCTGGGGAAGTGAAGCCAGAGGTGGGTGGGGGTGGGAGGATCAAGGTGATCAGGACCACCACTGCCCTGGGGGTTACTCCAGCGCATTTCCTGAGGCCCCAGGGATCAGAGCAAGGGCTGGGCAAGGAACAAAGGGCCAGCCTTAGGATGAACTTTCTCACAGAGCTGGCCAGCAGGGCTGGAGGGCAGTGAGCTATCCACTGCGAGGTGTGCAGGCAGAAATGAGCTACGTCTGATGGAGCCTCGGAACACGCTGTCCCCATCTCGCAGACATCATCTTGTCCTGAACGCTGGCGTCCGGGGCACATTTGCCGATCTCCCGGAGGGCCTCCTGTGGTGTCCATCCCACAGGGCAAGTCAGACGCCAGTTGCAGGAAACAGCCTGTGCCAGCTCCCGTTTGAAGAGTAAATATTAGTCTTTTCAAGAGCTGCTTGTTCTGTCACTTGACACCGAGGACAATGAGCTGATAAGGGGGAGCTTCTTGTTACCCACATCCAGATGGGTCTGTGGGCCTGGGTCACTGCTGCAACGAGGGACCCGTATCCAGCCAGGCACCCTCGCCTTACTGCTTGGCCAGTCCCTGAGCCCTGCCTCAGGGACTTCAGACCCTGCTGAGGCCCCAGGCCCCTGGCTCTTCTCATCTAGTGTCCAGCCTGCTTCTGCAGAGGCAGCGGCAGGGGACTGGATGTTTTGACCTGGACTGCAAGGTCTCTGAGCCCCAGCTCTGAAGCATATGGTTTAAAATCCTCTGATCATCAGGGAGGGGGAGTGACCTGCTTTTGCCCCACTGTCAGCCCCTCCTACCACCCCAGCTAACAGCACCCATCGCTCTAGCCCTCATCCCGTCTTCTTTTTCTGTGACTTTTCTCAGTGGTTACCTGTTCCCACCGTTAGGGGGCCTTTGCCATGTTCACCACTGTATTCTCAGTGTCTAGAACTGTGCACACAGTAATGAGCTGCTGCATGAAAATCACGACAGCAATACTTTGAAAACATCAA